TATATATATATATATATATATATATATATATATATATATATATATATATATATAAAATTCACACTTCAAAGTGTAAAAAATATTCGGAATTTAACGTGAGAATTTTTTGAATGTTCCAGACAGAGCAGTGATGCCAACCTCGAGAGTATAAAAAATCAGGAGGACGCAATGGTACGGAGACGAGTAGTTCCGGAAACCAGTGGTGGAATGCCAGCAATTTTGCTCACAATTATCTTCTCCCTAGTCCTCCTCATCACAGCGACCTCCACATCAGTGTTAGCCGTACCAAATGTGCGCTCAGAATCAGCCTCTGGGCCTGCGAATAGCGTCAACCCTCTGTCAGGAGCCTCCTCCTCAGCTTCAGTCTCTTCTGGATCCTCCGGCTCCTCGGGCTCTTTGCTCCCAGGATCCTCCTCTGGCGCGGGCGTCCCAGCAGCCGGTTCGGGAGCTTCTTCAATATCAGCAGTGTCGTCCTCATCATCCTCGTCGACGTCCTCGAGTGGGTCAGTCGGAGCGATTCCAGGAGCAGGTGTCGGTCTAGGAGATGGATTGGCAGGCATCGGCCACTCGTCATCCGTTCTTGCGTCGAGTGCCAATGGAAATGGCAGGTGTGAGGACATCACGATCCCGATGTGTCGGGGAATCGGGTACAATCTGACAGCGATGCCCAACGAGCTGAACCACGACACTCAGGACGAAGCGGGGCTGGAGGTCCATCAGTTCTGGCCGCTAGTCGAGATAAAGTGCTCTCCGGACTTGAAATTCTTCTTATGCTCAATGTACACGCCGATTTGCTTGCCGGAGTACAGCAAGCCCTTACCAGCTTGCCGAAGCGTCTGTGAGAGGGCTCGGGCAGGTTGCGCGCCTCTGATGCAGCAGTACGGTTTCTCCTGGCCGGAGAGAATGGCCTGCGAGCGGCTGCCCAATCAGGGTGACCCGGAGAACCTCTGCATGGAGCAAGACAACCATACCAGCAGCGGCGGTTCAGGAGGGTCAGGAGGCCCAGCTAGCATGGCTCCCCTCCCGCCAGGCCCTCCGCGGCCCCCTCGACCCACCAAACCATCGACGACCTCTCGTTGCAAAGGCAAGAACTCAAAAAACTGTCAGCATCCTCCAGGGGAAAGGGCAAGGGACTGCTTGTGCCGTTGCAAAGCTCCCCTCGTGCCTCTGGGGGTAACAAGCAGCGGCATAGGCACAAGCGGCCACGCGGCGGGAATCCTGGGAGTGGGGGCCGGAGCCACCCACATCGTCGGGGTCCCGGTGTCGCCAATCGGACTGGACACGATAACCCTGACAAACAACCCGAACTACCCGGGCATTGCCGGGGTAAGAGACTGCGCTCTGCCCTGCCACGGAGTACTCCTGTCCCCCGAGGAGAGAGGCTTCGCAGCGGTCTGGCTAACTCTCTGGAGCGGCCTCTGCGCCGCAAGCACCCTCACAACCGTAATCACCTTTCTCATCGACACCCAGCGGTTTAAGTACCCGGAAAGGCCGATCGTTTTCTTATCAGCTTGCTACTTCGTCGTATCTTTAGGCTACTTAGCAAGGAGTGTGTTGGGCCACGAGGAGATCGCTTGCGATGGTCCAGCGCTGAGATCAGGAGCTCAAGGCCCAGGGACCTGCGTCACCGTTTTTCTCATGATTTACTTTTTCGGAATGGCCTCGTCAGTCTGGTGGGTCATCTTGGCGTTCACCTGGTTCCTGGCAGCGGGTCTTAAGTGGGGAAACGAGGCGATAACTTCCTACTCCCAGTACTTTCATTTGGCAGCCTGGCTAGCCCCGACAGCTCAGACGGTCTGGGCCCTTTTGGCCGGGGGAATTGCCGGAGACCCCGTGGCCGGAGTCTGCACAGTCGCGCCAGAGGGAGTCCAGAAATTCATCCTCGTGCCTCTTCTAGTCTACTTACTCCTCGGGACGAGTTTCCTCCTGGCCGGGTTCGTCAGTCTCTTCAGGATACGTTCGGTGATAAAAAGACAGCCCGGCGCGAAGGCGGACAAGCTGGAGAAGCTGATGATCCGGATCGGAGTCTTCTCTGTGCTCTACACAGTTCCAGCTAGCGCAGTCTTGGGATGCTACTTGTACGAGTCGACTCAACGCGACGAGTGGATCGCTCACCTGGCGTGTCCTTGCAGGCCGCAGTCAAAGCCAATCTATTCAATCCTGATGCTGAAATACTTCATGGCGCTGGCGGTGGGAATAACCTCAGGAGTCTGGATCTGGAGTGGGAAGACTCTGGACTCCTGGAGGCGGCTTTGGAGACGCTTGTTCGGTGGCGGAGTCGCCGCTGGCGGAAACACCGGCCTCGCGGGAGTCACAGGAGTCAGCGGGATCGGAAGCGCGAGCATGAAGGGACGGTCTATGATGCCGAGCTACGCGGCCTCCGGGCCTGGAAGCGCGCTTCTGCCACCTGGGAGCGTCGCCAGCGCCTCTCAGCACCACTTGCATCATCATGTACTGAAACAACCCCCGCTGTCGCACGTATGACGTCACCAGTCGGCGGGAGGCGACATGAACTCGGCTGGGTGCGAACCCCAGTCACAGCTACAGCAGTCACAGTTACAGCAGCAGCAACACAACGAAAGGCCTTCCGCCCTGAGCAACTACGGACCCATTTAGCCCTTCGCCTCCGCCTCGTCCAGGAGGCACACACCCGCCCACACTGCGCCACACACCCCTCACAGTGCTGCCACTATCTACTCCAGACGCTCGCTGGCTTCTACTACGGGACCTCTCACCCCTGCCCACGGTCTCGCCCCCTCTTACACTCAAGCTACCGATGTCTGATCAAATCTCTCATCTTCTTTTGGTAACAACCTGTGGTAGCTTTTTTGATTAATTTATTAATTCATTAATTAATGTAACAAACTAATTTATTTATCGAATTAGTGGGTGGAAAAAATGAATCCCGGAAAAAATAGATCTGGAAAAAATTTTGAAATTATGAAAAATTCATATTATTTCATTAAAATTATTATAAAACTAGCAACCTTGCAGTCACTATGTGACTGCCGTGACTTGTGAACTGGAAAAAAAATTAAAATTTTGCTTTATTAAATAATGATTTTTGTTAAATTGTACTGTACTTTCTTAAATATTGACGTTTTTAAAGATATAAGCTCATCCTGATGTTACCCTCATCAAGAGCTTTTATTTGAGTACCCACATGCATTTTGATATATTTTTCATATATACATATATATATAATACATATAAATATATGAGAAATTGATATGGGTACTCAAATGAAAGGTCTCGATGAGTGTAACATTGGGATGAGCTTATATTTTTAGAAATTTCAATATTTCACAAGATAAAAGGTCATTTCTTAATTATGTATCTAGAGATAGAACATTTTCGAATGCAGCCTAAATACTTATCATAATAATAATAACCATCATCATAATAATATTTTTTTTTTTTTAACAAAAAATGGAGCGATTATTCTGGGGGTGCTTGTTTTTCAGGAAAATTGTGGGGGTGAATATTATAATTTTTATTTAATAATAATTTTAATGAAATAATATGAATTTTTCATAACTTAAAAATTTTTTCCGGGTCTATTTTTTTCTGAATACTGGAAAAAATATTGCCATATACTATTGCCGTATATACGTAAAAATTTTGGATAATTTGTCGAGAAATTGACTGATTATTTGAAATAATTATCGAGTTAACGTAGCAGTGATTTTTGTTTATTATTTTTATTTTTTTTTTAATTGATAATATATTTAAAAATATGTATATTTAATTTTATTTTTTTATCGACGCCGGGGAAAGTTTTACCGTCCGTGTGAGACTAAAATTAAAGAAAAATAAAAAAAAAATTTTTAAATGGCACGACTTTGTCTCTGGCTAGTAATAAGTACTAAGTAACTCTAGTGAGTGTAAAAATAAAATTTTGGATGCTTTGTATGTTTAATATATTTAATGAAAAGTGAGAATGAATATAATATTAATAATAATAATAATATTGGTTTATTTAAAAGCCCTAAGATTTCTCCTCCTTGAAATATTTTTTTGACTTTATATAGGCTCGAGTGCATGTCCGTCTCTATTTAAATAAAAATAATATTATTAATAATAATGATAATGATAAATATATATATATATATATATATATATATATATATATATATA